GTTCATTACATTAGCCTTTGTATAGAACCCCTGTAGGTAATAATAGAGGTACTTGGTGATTGAGTACATGAATTTTGTTTACTAGTTACAATGCGGATATGCTAATTTGAAAACCGGTGAGTGAATTAAATCAACTTGATCATTCAACAGGTTGCACCCGCAATGTTTATGCTTGTGAATTTCCAAGGATTCTGAATAATTGAGTTTGCAACCCTTCCATGCATAGTGCAGAATTTCCGTATCGTTTAGATTCGGAAACTTGTGGTTGCATGCCAAGGAATGGTTTGAAAACGTCGAATCATTTTTTCCTAGTCTGAAGGACCTTTCACGTTCAGCACACCGTTTTTGGAAATTTCGACCACATTGTCCCACATAAACACTATTACACTCCGGACACTTAAGCTTATAAACTCCAGATTGCTCCAACTTGTCCACCTTATCTTTGGCATTGAAAAGAAAATCAGATAACCTGGCATGTGGTCTGAATGCCACTTCCACATTGTTTTTTTCTGAAGAAACTCGCAATTATTTCTTTTCTTTTTCCAAAATATGTTAGAGTTACCCATTTTTTGATTTCTGGTTTTTTGACCTGAGGGTATATTAATCTGTAAGTGAATTTACGGCTTTGTTGTCTGACTAACTTCTGGATAGTATCTGCGTTGACACCATTATTATGACCTATATGTGTAATCATATCAATTTCCCTAGCAAGATTGTTAGCAAACAAAGGCAGTGAGAATGCTCTGTGCAACATTGAATTGTAGGCTGCTAATTTATGACTGCCTGAAAACATTGAACTCAAATTTATTCTGATCGTGTGTAATGGAAAAATTTATCTCTTTCTCTATCTCTGTTTCGAATATGAAGTGAATGGTGCTATTGAGATTATTCATGAATGTCATAAATTGGTTCAGCTGTCGTGTAGTACCTCTGCAACAGGCGAGAATATCGTCTACATATCTGTACCAAAAATGAATATGTATTTTTTCCAGGTCGGAATTTTCTGTAGTGGTCTCCAAGCTGTTCATGAATATGTCTGCTAAAACTGGACTGAGGGGTGAGCCCATTGGTGAACCTGAATCCTGTTTATAAAATTTTTTGTATAACTGTATGTAGCTCTGATTTAGGCACACATGGAAATCTATTGATTCTATCTAAAATGAGGGGCTTACACTGCTTGTACGGTAGGTTGGAGCCCATACTCTTTACATCGAATGAAACTAAAATTGAATTATATGTGGCGTGGTTACGTTAAAGAACCAATTTAGTTTGGTCCCACGTGTGAGGTGCGACCAAATTGGTAATATTTTTGAACAACTGGTTAATACGTATTCCTAGTTCTCTTACCGGACTATTTGTATACGAATCTGGCATGTGGCATTCAGACCGCATGCTAGGTGTACAAGTTGAAGAAATCTAGAGTTCATAAGCTCAAGTGTCCGGAGTGTAATAATGTTTACGTGGTACAATGTGGTCGAAATTTCCAAAAATGGCATACTGAACATGAAAAGTCCTTCAGACTAGGAAAAAATGATTCGACGTTTTCAAATAATTCCTTGGCATGCAACCATAAGTTCCCCAATCTTGACGATACGAAAACTTTGCACTATGCAAGGAAGGGTTACAAACTCAATTATTTAGAATCCTTGGAAATTCAGAAGCATAAACATTGCGGGTACAACCTGTTGAATGATCAAATCGATTTAGTTTACTCAC